AATATGTATACATAGTTCGAGTCAAAAGCAATAGGTACAGTGGAACTACTGAACTCATCCTAGATCCACCGCCCCCCCTAATGGTGCAAAAACATAAAAAGAAAAAGGGAAAAATGGAGCCAAAAAGTTTAAAGTAAGAAGGGAAAAAAGTGGGATGTAGGAACTATAGCTTAAAGTAAATGTACAAGTAATGGTTGGTTTTTTTAATTGCTGTTGTCGATGATGACACTGGCACGAAACCATTCTCCTTTGATTACAATTTGTGCACATTTTAATCGATTTGTTCCAACTTTTCTCCACTTTGTAACTCTTGCGTGCAAGATGCTTAACTAGCCACTATTCTACTCTACAGCTGTCTACTAGCGGTGTATCAGACGAGGAGAGAAAAGCCTCCATGAATTCTGTAAATCCAAAGTATGTCCTTAGAAACTACCTATGCCAAAGCGCAATTGATGCAGCTGAACAAGGCGACTTTAGGGAGGTCCGACGACTACTGAAAGTTATGCAACGTCCGTTCGATGAACAACCTGGCATGGAGAAGTACGCGCGCCTACCTCCAGCCTGGGCTTATCGTCCAGGCGTAGGCATGCTTTCTTGTTCCTCATGAGTTGATCTATCTGCGATGTAATACAAGATATTGACTTGTATATGTAATAGAAATTTTTAGTCTACGTTCTTGTAGTAATATGTAAAAGGTGTAGCTCTTTGTTCTTTATTATCCTAGCCTATTTGGCCTTGTTTCTGGCCTTCTGGGTTATAAAGAGTCTGCAGCATTTCCACTCTTATTTTTGTGCTGGAAAATGCGTTTTCTTTCTGTCTCATGTTACGGAAATGAAACTAGTAAAGTAAAATGCCGGAACTCTTGCTTTCATCTTGTCTTTACTCTTCCCCTATCCTCCCGTCGCTTGTCCACTCAACTCTGATACCCGAATCTCCTTTTGTTTGAAGTTTATTGGACATGAATGAACCTGAACAGACGTACCCGCTGCTTCTGCTTTCTGGCATATGGGTTCAGTTTCATAATATTATTACTGGACTCCATTTATTGAATTTGGTCTAGCTATATTACAAATTTATGTTTTTACGATCTTAATTTAATTATAGTAGACGACCGACTTTCTTAATAAAGAGAAGTTGGGGACATAGTAAACCTTTGATGAGTTTGTTTACTTTGAGCGTTGATGTCTGATAATTACAACAGTAAATGTCTTTTCTTTATCTACTAAACTTTTGACCACCTTATTTTGCTTCTTCCTTTTTTTTTTTTTAAAATTTTTGGTGTGTTATCGGGTGAGTGACGAGGATTTGGTGCAATATTTCTGGCGAATCATATATCTTTTAGAAAGATTTTAGACCTAACGTAAAGGGGACGTGGGAAGAAGCAGGCAAAGTTGCATGTTGTGATCCCGCGAGGGTGAGCTAACCCTAAAAACCCGTCCTCAGTTCGGATTGCAGGCTGTGACTCGCCTGCATGAAACCAGAATCGCTAGTAATTGCCGGTCAGCCATATGGTGGTGAATTCGTTCCCGGGCCTTTACACACAGCTCGTCACACTATGAGAGCTAGCCATGCCTGAAGTTGGTACCTTAATCGCAAGAAGGGGGATGCTGAAGGCAGGGCTAGTGACAGGAGTGAAGTCACTTGATGGACGTTGCACGTGATACGACCAATTCAACGTATCCTAATAAAAGACATATTTAAAGGGCAACTCGGTGCACAAGGCGTCGTATTCACGCAGCTGGGAAGGGCCGCATCCCAAGGGGATGTGGATAGTCTACCCTATTGCAAGTATCAGTAGCTGCTTCCATAGTTCGAACCCGTGACTTATAGGTCACACGGAGATTATTTTACCGTCGCTCCCCCTCCTATAAAAGACATCTGATTCTGGTAATTGTTACTACTGTTTAAGAGCATACATGCTTACATTTTAGCCAACTAACCTTAGCTGTGTTTGTTTGACACTTGAAAACCTCTGATGAAATGCTTAAAATAATACAAACGAAGGAGAAAAAACAAAGTGACTAATGTGTTGTTGTCTTGTGAAAAGTCACATGAGCATGTTCTTTATATAGTCTTAAAACTTAAGAAGATTGCTTTGAGTCAAAGATCAGATCTACAAAATATTAGTCAAATTAGCTCTCACATGTTTTGCTGCTTCCAACTCCTATCCTATTAAACAACAAAGTAAAGAGAAGAAATAAGGAAATAATTTCCTTTTCTTTTAAGTCAAGTTTCTGAATATTAACAAAAGTAGTGGCAAATATAGCAAATAATCAACAGGTTCAACTGAACTTAATATTTTCGACATAAAATATAGTCTAGAGCTTTTTTCACAAGCAGTGGCAGATGTAACGAATAATCAAGAGGTATTATCACTTTTAGCCTGCACTAGAAACTATTTACATCTGGTAGCCGAAAAAGTATGTAAAATTTGTATAATTTTTGTATATAGCAGACATAATGAATATATATACAAAAAACCTACAAATTTTATATATTTTTTCGGCTATTATTTTTACCGTGGCTATATAATGCTGTTTTCCCAATAATCAATAGGTTTAACTGCACGTAATATTTTCGACGCCTTTGTTCTGAAGGCCTAGCGATTTTTTTCCCAACGGTGGTCCTGTTCTTTCCTTGAACCGATGACTTGCTTGTTCAGTGCTGCTAACTATTATAGGATGATGCCGCCCCCTTAGGACTACCAGTAGCTTCGGTTGTTGAATCACGTGCAAGTTAGGTTGTGATTGTGTTGGCTGCAAGCCATATAATATAAATATATTTATAAAAAAAATATTAAAATCTAAACTCATAATTATGAAAGTGTCATGGATTCATCGTAAAAAACCTAAAAGTTAAACTCATCGAATTTAAGTTAAAATAGTACGGTCTAGCCAGTTTTCAGATTGGTCATTCAAAAATAGTCAACGTTTACCAAGTCATTGAAAAATAGTCACTACTTTGCTGCAATAGAGACTGATCCAGCATAATATACTGTAGTTCATTCAGTGCACCTGTGTATGAACTTCCAGCATATTATGCTGGACCGATATACTTTGCTGGCTCCAATATAATATACTGGAGACTGGAGCACCGGTGCTCCAAACTCCAGTGTATTATGCTGGACAAGTATATTATACTGGAACTTCAGTATATTAAACTGGAATTCCAGTATAATATACTGAAACTCCAGTACATTATGCTTCAGTATTTAAATCTTGAATTTTTTCGTAATTACGATCAATCCAAAGTGTGGAGGCAACTTTTGACTTAAAACTATGGACTTTCCCTTTAAATATTATTTTCATGTTCTTATATTTTAATCCATTGACACATGTTTTGTCAGAGTTCATCACAAGGCAAAGCTTGACTATCAAGTATGGATTTCCAATTCCATTCTTATAAACCTAAGTTTTTTCTTGTAAACTAAATATACTTATCTCCATTTTTCATCTGAATTTTCTTTGCTCTTTCCTTCTTGAAACTAAAGTTCCCTCCTATGGAAAACAATCACAGAACATTATTTCTTCTTATTTTAGCCTTATTTTTCTCTCATTTATTCATGGTTTCTGCTAAGCCATTTTCACATCAATATTCAAGAAGATTAATGGTTTCTTTTACTTCAATTTCTACTAATATTGACAAAGTGAATGGAGCAATTGTAGAGCATGAGAAAGCTGTGGAAAATGGTTTAAGGAAAAGGCCTCGAAGTTCTTCAAATCCTATTGGAAATAAAGTACATCAATGACATTCATCTTTTTTTTTCTTCTTGTTTTTTCTTCTTGTTTTTATTTGTTTTAACATTTTAGGATACAAAGAAGAAAGAGCATTTAACAGTTTTTCTCTTTCTGAAATTTTTGTAGTTTTTCTTCTTCTTTTACTAGCTAGGAAGTATAACATTGAGTGGTAGTGTTTATATATTTATTTTTTGAATTTAGCTTAGCTTATATATTGTGATGGTGTAACATTTTTACATTATANGGATACAGAGAAGAAAGAGCATTTAACATTTTTTTTTCTCTTTCTGAAATTTTTGTAGTTTTTCTTCTTCTTTTACTAGCTAGGAGGTATAATATTGAGTGGTAGTGTTTATATATTTAATTTTTGAATTTAACTTATATATTGTGATGGTGTAATTTTTTTTTTTTTGATATTATCAGTATAATTTAACACGTGCAGCAATTTGTCTGTTATGTCTCTCGGAACTAATTTTACTTATTATGGTAAAATTATTTGTATTTAATTTTTAGGTGATCTGTGTATGAAAGTTAAACTCTCTAGAAACCGTAAGTTGCTATGCTTTTGTGAATGTTCTTAATAGTTTGTTAATTCTTTTAAATGTACTTTGATTCAGAAAATTGAAAATTGTGGATCAACTTATTATAATGTAGGAATTACTAGATTGATTTTCCTTCTATTGTATCATATTGATGAATTTGTTTTCAACTATATATGACCAACTTTTGTTTGTTATAAAAAAATATTTTCGTGAAACAAAATAGAATTTTGGAAAGACAACATCCTAAATATATTTTGTTGTTATTGTTGTGGGGATTTCTAGTACAACTTTGTAAAAGAAGAGTCACAAAATCCAAATAGACATAAGTGAAATTATGTTTTCTTGTTATATATTTTTCTATTGCTTTATAATATTGAACAAATTTACTCTTTTTAGATTGTCGTTATCGGAAGTTGTTCAACATAAATGCCATGGATGTCTAAAAGAAAATTATTTTCAGCACTTATTTAGAAATGAATATTTCATACTCCGTATTATTTATTTTTGTATTTTTTAAACGGGAGTATGAGTGACAGTATCCAAACTAGCTTGCGACAAAAAAGATTTAAGTCTAAATTTTATTGGACCATCTCAAAAAAAAAAGAGGGTAGAAGAAAAAGAGAGTATTAAAATGTGATTCCATGTGCTAATGTTAGATGAGTATTGTGTGTATAAATAATCAGAGACAAACTGAGAAGGAAAACCAACAGAATAACTAATCCGTATGGTGAGATTGGCGAGATTTCTAAGTTTCGAGTTCGAATATTTAAAATAAAAAACCTCCTAGTAAATAGTGTTTGTTCCTTTTATTGGCCCTTAACCACTGCAAATTTAGGTGAAATAAGATGAGGTAGTCAGTTTTCGGACTGATAATAGAAAAATAGCAGTATTTGTAAAGTCATTAAAAATTAACCATTATTTTGCTGAAAGATAAAAAGTTCCAGAATAACATGCTAGATTATAGAGCTTTTGCGCATAAACTTCCAGTATATTATGTTGGAACTCCAGCACACGAAATGTTCTAGCATAATATATATGCTGGACATTGGAGTTTCTGCGTATAAACTTCCAGCATATTATGTTGGAACTCCAGCATATTATAAAATTCCAACATAATATACTAGAATCTCATATGTAAAAAATTCGAACTCCATTATATTATGCTATAATTTTTTCTAATTTTAAAGATATTTTTATTCAAATTTTATTTTTATATGAAAATTGCTAAATTTTAATTATTTTTAAAATTATAATTATTTTTCAATTATCGATGATAAATCTGGCTATTTCTAATTTTCCTCAATTGAGCTAGTGTCTGCCTGTTTAGAAACCAAATGGTCATTAAAAAAATAAAAACCAATAGGGAACAAGGAAAAGAACATGAAAATATTATGCACATGAGAATGAGTCATATTGAAAATAGCATTGAGGATACACATGTTAGCTCTGCCATATTCTCACTTATTGCTTCCTAAGATATTTGCCTCTCTTCTTTTTACAGCTAAATTGAGTTCTTGATCTCTATGTTTATCTTTTTCTTTTCTTTCTAATTTAACTCAATTCACCGAATACTAAAATAAACTTGACAATCT